TGATTCAACAGTCTTGCACGCTTCACAGCACTCACCATAGCACATACCCTCCCCAATTTCTATCACCCAGCCACCCCATCCCTCCCACCCCCCACCACTCCAGCAACCCTCAGTTTGTTTCCTGAGATTAAGAATTCCTCGTATCAGTGAGGTCATATGATACATGAAAAGACAGTCTCTTTAATAAATTGTGGTTGGAAAACCAGACTGCCACATGCAAAAGAATGAAATTGGACCACTTTCATACACCATCCAGAAAACAAATTTAAAATGAATTAAAGACCGAAATGTGAGATATGAAGCCATAAAAGTCCTTAAAAGAAAACATAACGCAGTAATATGTTGAACATCAACCTTAGCAATATTTTGGGGGGGGGGGATTTATCTTCCCAGGCAAGGGAAACAAGAGCAAAAATAAATAATGGGACTACATCAAAATAAAAAGGCTTTTGCACAGCAAAGGAAACCATCAATAAAGCAAAAAGGCAACCTACTAAATAGGAGAAGATATTTGCAAATATTTCTGAAAAGGGGTTAATATCCAAATATATAAAAACTCCTACAACACCAAAAAAAATCTGATTTTAAAAAGGGCAGAGGATCTGAATAGACATTTTTCCAAAGAAGACACAGAGATGGCCAACAGATGCATGAAAATATGCTCAACATCACTCATCAGGGAAATATGAATCAAAACCACATACTCCAAAAAAAAAAAAACAAAAAAACCCCACATACTCCTTCACATCTGTCAGAATGGCTAAAATAAAAAAGACAAGAAGTAAAGTTTTGGTGAGGATGTGGAGAAAAGGGAACCCTTGTGCACTGTTGGTGGGAATATAAACTGGGGTAGCCACTCTGGAAAACGGTGTGGAGGCTCTAAAGAAAGAAAAGAAAGAAAGAAATACCATATGATCCAGTAATTCTACTTTGGGGACTTACCTGAAGAAAACAAAAACACTAATTTGAAAAGATATATGCACCCCTTTGCTAATTGCACCATTATTGTTAGAAGGTGGAGGAGGGTCAGTAAAGTCTTCTCCAGACTGAGAAGCCACTTCAGACTGAAGAATGAAGCAAGCTACTCCACACTGTTTACACAGAGTTTTCTTCGGGGTAACTTACTGACAGGGGGCATCTGGCGATAATCCAGGCGCGTGGAGACCGTTCCCCCGCAGTTATTCTCCGAGCCTTTCTCCACACAGTATGGACGTAACCGTCAGGTTTTATAAAGTGAGGCGCATGGTGGTGACGTCAGTGAGGCGCATGGTGGTGACGTCACAGGGTAGTTAGCCAAGGTGGCGCCATGTGTACGCCAGAGGAGCTCTACTAGTTATCTAAAGTAGACCCTTCTGTGTGCCGGTCATTTCTAGTAGTTATCTAAACTGGTGCCTTCTGTGCACCACTCTAGGTATGGTCAGAAGAAGCCCTCCACATCCCCATCAGGGTGCACATTAACCTCCAGAGGGCCTGGAACTCATAGCCTTGACGGAAGCCATTGCTGAGGCGTGAACAAGATGGAGGCCCAAACATGGATTCAGTGCGGTCAGCACTCCCACAAGTATTTATGGGCGCTACCTAAATATTCAGCAATAGATGAATGAATAGAGGAGATGTGGTATATTTATGCAACGGGTCACATCTCATTAATTAAATTTGATTCTGAGCGGCAAAGTTCTTCAATAAACTTTCGGTGCAGTATCTTTCTGGTTCGAGCTTGAAGAATATTCACGCTACTTGTGATCATGCAGAGAAGACAAATGTTAACTTGTGATTCTTTGAGTGCCTTTTCCTCAGGTGCTGCATGTAATTTAGATTCTGATTGGCAGATGGAGGGGAATGTGGGTCACAGAAGGCTCCAGAATAATCGATAGTATATATAGAGATAAGAGAAACAACTCATCTCCTTTTTTGGATAAAGGCGTTATTTGCCCAAACCATTAATTTTCTAGGTGTTTTTAAAGACTACAAAACCTCTTTCGATTTAGGCAAAAAAGATGGTATCCCCTCGGTTAGACTGTTCCACCACTCTCAGCTTCCTGATTTTATAGCTGAGTTTGCCTCTTAATTTTTCACAGCTGGGGTGTCTTTGCTCAGGGGAGACTTTCCTGGCTTATGCCAGTCAGAATGCTATTATTTCTGAACAATTAAAACATAATCCACATTTTCTCTAATCAACAAACCTCGATTATAATGGAAGATTTGGCAATATTTTAAAACCGGAATGGCTCTGAGCTGCTGGGTCCCAGGAAGCCAATGAGAGAGATGGGTGGCTGCATCAGCTGACATGGAGCCTGGCAGTAAAAGAAGAACTTAAGGGGGTGAGAGGAGTGGAGATGAAGGTGAAAACATTTTTATTAGTTGGCAATCCATCATTTTAAGGAAGAGAGAGCCCCAAAGAACAATGGAACTCTGCACATACAGTGAATTTGGCTAAAGAAACAAATGTTACTCTACAATGGGGTTGTCAGTTGACAACGCCTATTTATTGAACACAGTGTAGAGCACTGTACTAGGCATTATGCCAGGGCTTAAATTACAGACACTCTCAGATTCACACCCCCTCCTTCCTGTAACTCGGAGAGAAGGGAAACAGGGAAGAGATGTCTGTTTCCCCCCTTTCCATAAGGTTCATGCTGTAGCTAATTACATATTCTATGGAAATAATGTTCTGCCATGACAGTGTTTCTTCACACTAACATCCTGTTAAGGAAAGGGGACTCTTTCCTGACTAGCACATTAATACAGCCTCGTAAATTGCAGTTACCATTTGCACAGGATGAAACAACAAAGATAAAAGAACACTGCTCGTGCTAAGACAAGGATCCGTTTGAGTTTCTTCTCGTCTCTTTTAATATAGGCCACTCCCTGCCCTCCCCTTCCCGGTTCCACTTCCCCACCTGTAGCCTTACTGCCCCCCCAATCCCTGTTTGGAACTGCCACCTGCCCCCTCACCCCATGACTTGGTTTTTCTTCATTCGCAGGAGGCAAAAAAAAAAAAAAAAAAAAAGTAAAGAAGCAAGTGGGGAGAATAAAGAATCCTGAGCAGGTGGTTTAAACCATGGTGCAGAATCTTCCCTCCTCACCCCCGTTCAGTTAACCAGAGCTTCTTTAGATATAAGTAGGTTCTGGGGGTGGGGTGTGGTACAGGGCAGCTCTTGAGAGTGCTCAGCCTTTTACTCACTTGCACAAAGTATTTAAGGAAATCAACATCTGACTCAGGGCTCAGATGCTTTGATGCTGATGCAGAAAAAATCAAAGATGCACAGGTAGTGGTGCAGAAGAGAAGGCAAACGCTACCAGGACAGGAAGAACGTGCAGGAGAAGGTGCTGGAATGCCCCCACCTCAGCCCTTCTGCTCTCTACTTGCTTGCTAGAACTGCCACCTCTCTGGGCACTTTAGATCCCAATAGCTTCCTCCCGTGTTGGGAGGTGTCTACATTTGATCTTACTATGTTGTTATGGACTGAACTGCATCCTCTGCAAATTCATAAGGTGAACCCCTAACCCTCAGTGCTTCAGAATATGACCGCATTTGGAGATAGTGCCTTTAAAGTGGTGATTAAGTGAAAATGAGGCCTTTAGGATCAGTCCTAATCCAATCAGACTCGTGTCCGTAAAAGAAGAGAAAAATCACACAGAGACAACAGGGATGCTAGTGCACAGAGGATAATGTGAGGACAGGGCAAGAAAGTGGCCATCTTTATAAGCCAAGCCCACGGAGGCCTCAGGAGACACCAATCTTGCTAATACCTAGATCTTTGACTTCCAGCCTCCAGAACTGTAAGAAAATAAATTCCTGTTGCTGAAGTCACCTACTCTGTGGTCTTTCGTTACAGCAGCCCTAGCAAACGAATACATACACGATGGAGCCATGGATGAGAAAGACAGTCATTTCTCGGAAGTACGTATCGAGTCCATCCATTGGTATAGAGCCCCTACTTTCTTGAGTGCTTCCCATGTGCCTGGTACCATGCCAAGCACTTTTTCTGCATTATCTCGTTTAACTGTTAAGCCAAATCCTCTGAAACCCTTTGGAAGTCAGACATATCTAAGAAATTCAATATTGTAGTGAAGCTCTTTTTCTTTTTTCCGTACG